GTGTACGTACAGAGAGGAGTGTTACACGAGAGACGTTGAACAAAACGTCGGAATACTACAAAATGAGAAAAAGATTTAATTTGAAGACTGGAAATCCTAGGTTTAGGTGGGCGGACAGAAAATATTTGACAGACAGCCTGCAGGCGCGCCAACTGCTGTTGGGTCGCAACTGCATAATGAGTTCTCAAAACCTAGCAAATAGCAACAAAGGAGAGATTAAGTTAATCGGCACCATGGATGTCAGTATGCGCATTGCTGGTCCTGTTATTTAACCCTCGAAAAGGCCAATAACACGCCGTATCAGAAGAAGTAAAGCCATTATCTCACACTTTTTTTACAAAGAAATGCAAATGAAGCAAGCCGAACTTAAGGATTTGGATGCAAATGAGTAAATAGATGCATTAAAGTGCATTCTAACTAACCAGTACAAAGTGGCAGCAAGTTGTCCTTGAGTGGCTTTGAAGTGCAGCTGCGAAAACTTTGCGACAGGCTCATTTAGACGTAGACAGTTAAATTATTCAAAAATGCGAAACAAATGTTAGCTAGGCAACAGTTTAAAGGAACTGCGATCGTAAAATATTCTCTTATCCACCTCACTTGTCCATAGCACACAGAGTGGATGAAACACTGAATTCCCAGATGACTTCTCCGTTTATGCTTACAGGTTCCGCCCTGCCGTTTGACTTCATTATACACCGACATGGGACTGCGCGCTGACGTAACTCTGAGAAGCCGCCAGCGTCCCCTTCTAAAGTGTAGTACCTTCAAAAGCAACACTCCTTTGATGCTCATACATGACCGTACACGCATGCAGGCTCCGCGTGTCGTACGACAGGCAAGGCCATACACCTAAAAATGAGCCCTCGAGGCGCTCCCGGACGGATTGACTGGTGTGATTTTGAGGAGCGTAAAGGGCACAGAGACCGCAGACACACCGACAATTCGATCGTCGCGAAAGACGACGTACACCATTGTCCAAAGGCGGACTCCATCAGCTTAGACTTGAGTGTAAATTTGTTTGTAAAGAGACGAATTTGCACAACATCTACACCGTTCTAATCTTCCTCAAGCCAAATTCGAGTTGACTGAAGTAGGGCGTCGGTACTGTGACCGATAAGGCTAGATGGTTCGCCTGCGTGTGCCACACACGACCTGATCCCCGATCAGTATGTGCCAGGCCCTATTTATTGAGGGATTTCGGATACCACAGAGTTTATTAAGGCCTCATCCACAGTATCAAAAAGCGCCGATTTATCCTGTCAGTTGGCGACCTTCAGAGCCAAAACATTTGGCGCGTCCAGATAGATTGAGACGCATCCGATTTATTGTAGTAAGGAATGCGTTGATTTATCGTGGGCGTGAATGCTCCGGTACTGGACTGGCTCTTTTCCTTCCCCATCCACCAATTGTCTGTTGGAGTCAAACAACCCGGGGATTAAGTTGATTCCAGTAGCTGGCCTGACATGTAACTTTCGTCTGTTAGGTGTCACATGCGTGCACAGCGGTAGCTCAGTTCACTTGCGCACATACATACTTAACCGAACTTTCGGAGTCTTCCAAAATGTTCCCAAAGTGAGAGTCGTCCTCTCAGGCTCTTCCTTCTGTTTATTTTATAGAGCGGGATGTGGCAGTTGGCAGCGCTTGACGTTGCACCCCACCAAGCACGCCAGGGAGTGATTGAGACGTTCATAGGTAACATAAGATCTTTCAAATCCACATCACCGATCCATAATTCGCGTGTGGCTGGTGCCAGTTAACAGTAGGTGCTACTATGTGCACAGTAATCTAAATTTGCCCAGTAGGCTTGAGGTCAAGTCCGTGTTGTTGTTGTTGGAAAACCAGCCAAAGAATATGTATAGGGTCTTCATGTATTTCGACATTGCAACCACCGCCACTGTACGGATGTCATAAAACGACCAGTATAACGTGCCCCATAGGCGATGATTCCCCAGGCAGTTACATTCATCGCAGTTGCAATCGACAGAAGACTGTCAGTCTGACCCTGACTGCCCTTAACTCCTTTGTTGCGGCGCAAACGCAGTTAATGTGTAATCCGAATTACGCCTGCACGATTCCCACAAATGCAGGTCAAGTTCACACCTTAAGCAGACTTTCCTAAAAATATCTCAGATGGACTACTTGATCCGTATAGGTGAACATGTCCCTGGTCGTTCTGACCTTAATGTGAAATATTAATTTTGCATGACGGAAATTGAATCAGGACCTCTCTCGCAGGTCGCCAAGGAGGGTCGGTTGTTAATTCGCGCTTGCTCCGCCAATGTGCGGTCCCTCAACAAGAGGTAAAAATGCTTTATTCGATGCATCCCGTTAAAAAGTGGCTTTCGACAATTCTGGTGTAACATGGCACGTTGTGTCGAGCTAATGATACCTTGAGAGTTTTCTGTCAAAAACATGCCTTTACCTGAACATTGCGACGTTAGATACTTGCGATTAGATTCCTGCAAAAGTTAGTGCTGCGAAATGAATTATGTCTAATGCGGGCACCTCTACAGTTGTCATAACGAGGTCTCAGAAAAAAATAATCTCCAACGGTTGACGCGACATAAGGATGGAAACAACGAGACTTGACAAGTTCCGACTGTAAGTTTATAAGGATGGCTAAAGAAAGCGGGACGCGTCGATAATACGACGAAGTGGGTGAACCAGATTGCAGACGACCAAATCCATAGTAAAGTGCGGGATGCCGTAATGCTGCCGCCAAACTGAGAGTACGATCATTAATTCGGAGATAGACAGTTGGTTACCCTGAAACTCGCACTGACCCGACGTATCGTGTCCAGCACCTAAAGCACCTGACAATTTGACAAAATTTTCGACCGAAAAACTTTCCCATAAAGGTGAGGCAATATTTACTTTATTGTTTGCTTATTTGTTTGACTAACAAATGGTAGGCTTATGCAGATTGCTGGAAAGAAACGAAGACTTACTGGAGTACATATCACGCAAGACGTTTGATGTTCTTTTAGCAAGTTTCGTCAGTAGAGTAAAATGCAAACTACGTAGAGTTTTGCAACCAGCTTACAGTGTTTTAGTCCTGCAGAGTTGATGATAATAAGTCTTGCCAGCCTAATCTTCCGTTTTTATGCCATACATTCGTCTCGAACTCCAAATCTATCATTGATAAGTAGGCTGGCGACCTGGAACTCAAGGACTCAAGGCCAGGCTGAGGCTGACCTCTATAATAGCAACCAAGCTGGGATAGCAGGCGACCTGCTATTTGAAGGTAAATCGCAGTTGCGTCGTCCGGTAAAAAAGTTTTGCAAAATTACCCCGACTTTATGTAATAAAATATCACCCTAGAAAACAGAGCCATTTCTTCAGAAATTAGATGCAGTTGGAGCTTTTAGCAACAGTCAATTGTAGGGCCGCAGAGTTATATTTGTATCCCTAGTCCTAATATTACTTAATGAGGGAGCACCCTCCACTGCGTAGGAAAACAGACAAGTTAGTATATTAGATTGCCACAGATTTCCTATATCTAACTATTAAATCGTCTTTCACTTCAAAGTATTGCAGTATGCGAGGTCAGGCTGGACGATAGAACTCTAGAACACAAGGGGATTTGTTAAGAGGACCGCTCAACTATGCGCTGACAAAACAGCAGACTATTCAGCATATATATTAAATAGTAAACAAAAAAGAAAGGCTGTAATATTCTAACAGATCATGGATGCCAGAAGGAACCAGAAGAATGAAGACGCAGATGTACCTGTTCAGCCATTGACTTCGAGCGTTGGTTCATGCGTCTGGAGACAAGATCAGAATTTGTGTTCCAGACAATCAGTTCTCCGTCGTAAGAAGCTGTTATCAGATTGTGAGGGGGCAATGCACAGCCAGACATGACGTCGTCCTGGTGTTCCTGCAAATCCGAAAGTTTTGTAAACGTGCTGGTAGAGCCGCTTATATTAAGAAGCATCGGACGTCCTCATTGATATGACACAGAAAAGGTCAAAAAATTAAAATTACGATCATCTTGGCGCTGTGCGTCCGAAAAAGCAACTAGGAACATATGACTCGATTCCATCATGTTCTCCAGTGTTAAGTCCATAGACAACATCTCTTTGTTCATTGTGACTAGCTATTTTTCTACCATTATTGAAATTTGCTGCAACTCCCTTGTTTCGCTGCGTTTTCGTTACAGATAAAAAGGTCTTACAGATACAAGCAAAGATGAGAGTTCCAGGAACTAGTTGGTAAAAATAGACGGTATTGTTGCAATACAAGCTTTATTTGCCCGACGTTTCGGATTCATGCTCGAACCCATCACCAGAGGCAGTGACAGATGCGGGTGATTCATGCACAGGAAGTTGCAGTATTTATAGGATGCAGTCGCTATGTCACTGCATGCCGATGATAACTAACCGGCATGATGATTACTCGGCCATCCGGCTCACCGGCCTGCACGCTCACCGAGTGGTTTACTACTTTGACCAGACTATGTCTCAGAACCGAATACGGGGTGGGGATGTCACTGCACTGATTGCTGGATTGGGGTCCCGTGAACCACGACTCTAGTAACTCGCGGCTCACGCGATTCCCACCTCTCGCGAGAATTTTGGCCTCATCGAACTTGATTGTATGGCCAGGTTTCGTCGACTGAGCCGCGACTTGGGAGCTTGCGTCATTTCTCCGCATTGCTGTCGCGTGTTCGGCGACTAGCGTCTGGAGCAGTCTTCCAGTTTCTCCGGGGTAGATTCTTTGCCCGCAACTGCACCAAACCCGCTAAACGACCCCCGACGTTTCTTGCCGTGGCAGTGGGTCTTTTGATCTCATCACCTGTCGCTCAACGGCTGCCTCCGGCCTGTGTGCAACTCCAAACCCATGTGGTGCCAGAAGTCGACTGACGGCATCGAGGCGTTCTTGGTGTACGGGATCGCTTGCCAGAATTTGGGGTCGTTACGATTTTTTTGCTCATCTTGCCGGTTGACGAAGTTGTGCGGGTAACCATTTTCTCTGAAAATCTGCCAAAGATATTGAAATTAGGCAATCTTGTCTTCCGGTTCATTGCTGGGCGTCTCAACACGCCGATATAGCTTTCTTAAGCAACTGCGTTTGTGGCTGATTAGGTGGTTGTTGCTGAAGTTCAGTATTTGTGTCGTATTCGTCGTCTTTCTGAACACTTTAGTCTGTACGCCACCACAATCTTTGCGGCAGACGAGGACATCAAGGAAGGCCAGCTGGTTATATTCTTCCTTCTCCATCGTAAATTGTTTGCTCAGGCAGACGCTATGGATACGTTCTTTGAACGGTAGCACCTGATCCCGTTCGATGAACTGCTCGTAGATTGTCTCGTCAAACGTGAAGTACGTCCTAAGACAGAAGTTTATGAGCTGAAGGACTTGAGCATGTCCGAGACGATTCTCCGTTTTATTGTATTTGCTTAGTAGGAGTAGCTCGACGGTCTCGATTGCCAGATCCTGGTGGATGGAAGCAAAGAGGGACGTGACATCAAAAGATACCATGACCTCAATTGACAAGAGACTTACTCCTTTAAGCTTCTCCAGGAATTGTACTGACTAACAGACGGTGGTGTCCGAATCATCGGTCAGAAAGTTCAGGCGTCGAAACAGCCATTTTGCCAGTCTGTCTGTGTATACACAAGGCCGGAGGCAGCCGTTGAGCGACAGGTGATGAGATCAAAAGACCCACTGCCACGGCAAGAAACGTCGGGGGTCGTTTAGCGGGTTTGGTGCAGTTGCGGGCAAAGAATCTACCCCGGAGAAACTGGAAGACTGCTCCAGACGCTAGTCGCCGAACACGCGACAGCAATGCGGAGAAATGACGCAAGCTCCCAAGTCGCGGCTCAGTCGACGAAACCTGGCCATACAATCAAGTTCGATGAGGCCAAAATTCTCGCGAGAGGTGGGAATCGCGTGAGCCGCGAGTTACTAGAGTCGTGGTTCACGGGACCCCAATCCAGCAATCAGTGCAGTGACATCCCCACCCCGTATTCGGTTCTGAGACATAGTCTGGTCAAAGTAGTAAACCACTCGGTGAGTGTGCAGGCCGGTGAGCCAGATGGCCGAGTTATCATCATATTTCTTGTTAAGGGGAATTTTATCATTAAGCTTTCATCAGTTGTGAATGTCCACATCAATTTGTTGAGCCCAATTTGTACTGAGTCTGTAATGCAGTAAACGTCTGCAGGATAAAATTTTCCACGAAGCAAGCCTTGCGTAGTCAAACGGCAGTGCA